AAAGTTTTTTTTATATCATCTCTAAACCTCCTTCTAGAGGGCAGGTNTGGTATATTCACTACCACTAGCATGTTCATATTCTTCCAAGAATGAATATGTATTCATAAATAAGATGTTGTCACATTCACATCATGAATGGACCATAATCATCTATATGTGCTTTATAAAATCTCATGTCAAATCGATGACAAATATTACTTTCACAGAGTGAAGGATTATTTTGAGAATCCTTATTATTCTCATTATCACAATGATGGCGATTATAATTTCGTCTATTGCCACGTCCACATCCATTGATACCTTCACGGTAATAATTTTGTCTTCTTTCAGACTTATCACATATTGCTATCACATTCTCTTAAGGGAATGAGAATGGAGCAAATTCAATGGGACGGGTTTTCACTTCTTGTGCTCACGATCATACATGACTTTGATCATGGCAAGACATAGAAATTTTACCACTTCGGGTGGTTATATTTCTTACGAACTCCATTAGAGTTGTAATTTATTATCTTTGCTTGTATTTATAATCAAATTATAGAATAAAAGAGAAAAATACGGTAAAATACTTACCTTAAATCCAGAATTTAAGCATGAAGGAAATTCATAGAACAATTGACAATCATTATGATCAATCCCAAAGCTTCTACTCAATTTGTTAGAGTCTCGTGCTAATAACGTGTTATAAAACAATAAAAGAAGAAGAATAGTATTGCAGAGAAAAGTAGAGAGAGGGAATTCTTATTGATATGGGATGAATTACAATGGAATAGAACCCTCTATTTATAGGGAGATGGTGACTTAGCCACCAAGTAATAAACCCTAGAATCTCTCTAAATATAGACATTCACCATAAATAGAACTCTATTTATAACAGAATACGTGATTTAGCTGATCTCCCACTTAGTTGTTAGAAAAAGTAATAAGACACGGAAGAAAGACATGGAAATTAAACCCCTCCACATTTACTCATGAAATTAAATATTTAAAATCCTAAATAGATAATTACGTGTCTTAGAGCCTGTTTGGCCAATGAGGCCAAAAGTACTTTTTCTGTCAAACAAATACTTTTTGAAAAATTTAAGGTGTTTGGCCAAGATGAAAGAGTACTTTTGAACAGCAGCAGAAGCAATTTTTCTGCTTTTGGGGAGAAGCACAAATTCTAGCTTCTTCCAAGAAGCAGAAGCAAAAGTAGAAAATTAAATTTTTTCAAGACAAATTTAACCTTACAATAAATTTATATTTTTGAAATTATCCCTCATTAATTAATATTTTTCTTTTCCTTTTCCTTTTCCTTTGCCTTTTCCGTTTTATTTCTACTATACCTTTCTTATCTTTTATATTTTAATCATATTTTTTTGGTAAATACTGACTTTCTATTCATTCCAAAAAAAAAAAACAGCTTTACAAATCAAGTAGATGTTGACCATCTACATCTCTATCTTCTAACTACATCAAGTCTGATGCTCTAATAACATCTCTATTGTATTGCTATTTACATCAGCTTAAGGCTTTTTCAGAAAAAGAAAACAGAAACATTCTACATACTTCAAAATCTAAGAGCCTAGAGGGAAGTAGTCTAATTGTTGCAGTGCTCCTTGCCAACTCTTTATTGTCCTCCCTCTAGTATGTATATCCATCACGATCTCTCTGCATATAATGTCCTTTTTGAGTACTCCCCCTTGAAGTTTAATCACATTTCTTTCCCTCCAAATTGTGTACACCAGCATACCAAATTTATAGGTTACAATTGCCCAGTGGCCAGATTTTTTTTTTTCACCTTTGTTAATCCATTGGACCTCACCTTGCCAATTCTGAATAGGTCTAGAATGGCCTAGCCAATTGAGGAGCCTAGTCCATATTCCCTTTACTATTGGACAGTCAAAAAATAAGTGTTCAAATACTTCATCAGATTGCTTACAGAATACACATTGTTGGGGCACTTGAATTCCAAATTTGGTGAGTCTGTCCACTGTTGCTAATCTCTTATGTAGCGCCAACCATAGTTTGAATTTGTATC